ACTTGTTTGCACCATAGTTATGGAAGAGAATGACCTTGTTTGTAGAAAATATACTCAAGTATTCAAGGCTGATGGGGGTGATTAGGGGGTGATTACGTCCCAAATTTGCTCTCAAATGGTTCAGGAAAACAAAGTTTCTTGTAACTTTCTGTTGTTTAAAATTATGCCCAAATAAAAATACCTTTAGCATTAAAGAAATAAGTCTGGAGTTACAGCATTGCACCCACTTGGTTTAAGTGTCAGAAGAGCTCAATTCTCCATATTCTCAGTGTTCTGTGTTAATCTATATGAGACTATAGTGTAGTTCTTCTGCTATTTTCATATTATCACTTTCCCACATTTTTGCTGACCAATAATGAAAATATCTTACCCATACACAAATATTAGTTACGTTTCCATGGACACAATATTGGGTGCTGGCATCAGCTGGTTGAGTTGAAATCCAGCTGCCAGCACTTGCTAGCAGTGGGCCCTTAGGCACGTTACTTAACATCACTGCACTTTGGTTTCAATATTCATGAAACGTGGATAATAATGATGTCAACCTCATTGAGTTCTCAGAATTAAATTTGATAATCTATTCAAAGCATGTAGACACCGAGTAGGACATAACTAATATTCAATAAATGCTAGCTAGTATTAACTAGTATCTTGCTGCCTACATGGCTCTATCAAATAAAATATAAACATCATGGTTGGCAGTACATCCTCTTTGACAGCATGCTCCCCTTACATAAGGTACATTTATTTTTCAAGTGTGTATCCTCTAGAGAGTTTTAAAATATGACAGACGAAAATGTAGCTGGTTGTCAAAATACAAAATTAAAGACTAAATTTTTATAAATAAAAAGTGCTAATTAAAAAAAATCTTTGAGCCCTCCTGACTTGAGAAAAAAATAATATTATAGTATTTGTATTAATCAGCTATTTTACAATGATACTGTGTGACAAATCACCCCAAAATGCAGTCCCTTACAACAAAAATATCTATTCTCATGATCACAGGTGGTGCAGGTTGGCCATGCTCAGTTGATGTAGGTAGTGCTCCGTTGGGCAGCACATTTTCAAGGTGTGAGTTGTCTGGGCTTAACTCCAAACTGTGGCTCAGGTTGAAATCTGCGCCATAATATTTCTCCTCTTCTTTAAACCAGTGCTAAAGGGCATTTCTTATCACAGCAAGTGTCAGAAGCACAAGCACCAAGTTCAATTATGCAGCACATTTAAGCCCCTCGCTCACATCATGCCCACTAATATTTCATTAGTCAAATCAAGTCACTTGGGGTCAAGTCCAACATCAATGGAGTGGGAAGTATTCTCTGCCTACAGTGGGAGGACACTGAGATGTATAATACATTGCAGGAGACTGAAGAATTGGAGTCTATAATCCAATTTGCAATCCACAGTGTTTGATTGGCCTGTGCTCTGTCCATGTCCAGAAATCTCGGGAGTTTTGTAAGAAATGGCAACTGTGCACCAGCAGGCAGCAAGCAGCAAGCAGCAGGTTGTTTCCACAGCTGTAAGGATGGATTTGCTCTGATTTACTTTCCATCCCACACACAGTTCACAAAAGGAGCTACAGATATCAGGAAAGTAATTTGTGGCCATGACATTGAGATTTTGCCCTGGCAAAACTTTTCTATATAGAATAACACATGGACTGCATACTTATCATCTTCCAAACAGTGGTATATTCCTTCCACTTACATGAATTCACTTTATAGCAGGAGTCTCTCATTTTTATTTTTATAAAATTTCTGATATATCTTGCATATAGTATATGCTCAATATATATGGGTTGAAACAGTGAGAAGCAGTGTATTAATATTGGAGAAACAAAAATAATGCCACCCCTAGAATTCTCACAGGTCACTGTGGTCTTGAGCATAGGAAAATAAAGCATCATGTGACACGTCAATACTGTGGAAATTTATGTTCTGAAGTAAATAATCACCTTTTGGTGTATTAACAGAGAATTCAGCTCCTCTAGGACTTTCTTTTTTAGCTAACAAAATAGTATGTTACTTTCCTATATTTCTTCACGTTTATTATACACCTTTTTGTGTTTTTAATTTCAGAGAGGAAGGGAGAGAGATAGAAACATCAATGATGACAGAGAATCATTGATTGGCTGCCTCCTGCATGCCCCTTACTGGAGATCGAGCCCACAACCCAGGCATATGCCCTTGACCAGAATCGAACCCGAGACCTTTCAGTCCATAGGCCGACGCTCTATCCACGGAGCCAAACTAGCCAGGGCTATTATATGCCTTTTAAACCCTTCTAAAAACCAAACATTTAGATTCCCTACTCCACTCAACTTTATTTTTTATGTGCTTCCTGTGAAGTTAACTAGACAGACAAGGCTGATAAAAGAAAGCTTGTCCTTATAAAATCCTTAGGGGTAACTGTATAATGAGATTTTCTTTTTTCCTACCAGTAGAAACCCACTGTTTCACTAAGAACTCACCTATTTTAAAATGGATGGAAAGTTATAAGGCAGCCAAACTGTCCTTTTAAAAGTGAAATGAATGCTAATCTAATTGCCCAAAAATGCATCAACTGGGTTTTGAAAGCAAGACTTCTATACTGGGTCCCCCTGCTGGATTTGCAGATGCATGTCTTTGCAAATTGGTGAAAGCAGTATCCCTGAGCCTTTTCATTTGAGGGCATGTGACTCCAATGACAAATCCAGCATTCTTCTAGGATGCTTGTTCTCTCTGATAAACATGCAAAGTGTCTCTTGAGTTTTCTGCCCAAAGGCAAAAATGCTGTAACCAGAACACTGTTTGGCCAAGACTCAAAATGGAAAACAAAAGCATGCCACTCAGTGGCTACATGAGGGAATGAGAGGGCATGGAGGATAAAGGTAAAAACTCACTAACAGTAGACTAGGAAGACAGCCAAACTGGCTTGTATTGACTCGGGGGTCTGCCCATGAATTTCCTTTTCATGCATTTAGAACTGCTGGAACCAATTTCTCACTTTCCTATGACTTAATTGTTCTCTTTCCCTTCCTCTCTTCACAAGAAAGTGTTTTCCCCCCACTCCTTAGGAGATGTGGTAACTAGACTAATTTTAAAGCCAACCTGTCACTGTAAACTTCAAGCCTATGGTGAAATTCGTGTTAAAAGGTCTGTCTGTTGGGTGAGACAGATAAGTTGGCAGATTTTTCCTGTTTGACTCAGCCTGTTTGATGAGAGGAAGAGGGGACATACTGACCTATGTTTTGAAACGTGCTCCTGCACTAACTTGCCTCATTAAGGGAGCAAGAGCAGCTGGGATGGCTGTTTCCTTCCCAGGACAAAAGCCAATGCTGTAGCCCACTCAGAGAGCCAGAGAGAAAATGTCATATCATCACGTGGTCATTGTAAAAACGCAACGGAGAACGTTGGATTTAGGTAGCTACAGAGCTGCCCCGGGTCCTCATATTAAAAGTTAGACGGTGTCCCCTAAGTTGACCCCCAATGCAAGGCAGAGGTGATTCTACCCATACTCAAGTATCCAATGATAGCATTTCTTCCCCACTGTGTGTCACTCTTTTTATTCATTTACTTTTGTCATTTTATGATAAGCTTTTTCTTCCATCCAAGCCAATTCTGAATGTTTTCCCATCTGCAACTCTCTTCACTAGGTTATTTTACAGCGCTGCTTGGGGAAATGTTTCCCATTGCTTCTCTGAGGCTCTTGTTTTAGCTCTGCTAGTTGAGATTTCTGGGGAAAATGCACCATCCTCTTGCCTCTGGATGAAGAGTTAATAGTAATAGCAGATGGTGGGTCAAAGCACTCCAACAAAACAAGGTTAAGTGATCTGGGCCTGGTTGCAGGTCAGGAATTTTAACAGGGCTCAGCTGGGTGATTCTTCTGCTCCTTGTGTCTTTGGCTGAGGCCCTTGTTCAGCTGCGTTCAGCTGGCAGCTGGGCTGGGTTAGAGGCTATAAGAAGGCTTCACTCACAGGCCTGGCCCCTTGGTGCTCTGCCGTGTGGCCCTTCACTCTCTCTGTTTGGTAGGCTAGCCCGCGTGTCTTTATAGCATGACAGCTGGCTTCCCAGAGGGAGAAAGTGGATGCTACTAGCTCTCAGCGCCCTTCGCTCAGAGGGCCTACATCACCTCCATGTTTCATCGGTCTCAGTTACAGCACCAGTCCGGATTCAAGGAAAGGGGAGAGAGATTCCACTTCCCGGTAGACAAAGGATAAGTAATGTATGCTGGTGGTGTCTGCGTCTCTGTTTTCTGTACTTTAACTACATGTTTTATATTTTGTTTCTGTGTCTTTATATAAATTTATCATTAAAAAATTTTTCTAAACTAAAAGAGACTTGGAAAGCCTCCCAGTAATGAGTTATAAAATATGCCTTTATTTGCCTTTGAAAAGTTTGTTTTTCTACACATAAATTCAGAGAAATATATATTTTAAGCTTAAAGAAAATGTTAGTTTCTAGTGGACAGCCACCATTGCAGCTGCCCAGTTATTTATTTTTCAAGGATTTATGTGTGATAGCATAAACCAGACCATCATAATTTGTTCAAGACAAAATATTTTGTAGCGTAGATATGTTAGGCTTTGATGTATATGTTAAATAAAAATAGATATTTTTACAATATATTTCAAACAGGAAAATAAAGGGCATAGAAATTTAACCAAGTTTTCTTACACAGTGTATATTGCTTGAGTCAAAGGAGAAAAGATTGGATTTAAAATCTGTATTGCATTTTGGGAAATGCTGTGCGAGAAGAGAGATGTTACTAGAACTGCTGAGTGAATTTTGTTTACTGCAGTTCAACATTTCATCAAGCAAATCGTGCGGAAGGGAGGAGTATAAATGCACCTTTTTATGTAGGTAATTTTTCTGTTTCATACCTCTGATTCATCTCTCTGCCTTGCTTTATGGGGAGTCATGCTACATTGGTTACAATTAATTTCAGTGCTGCATATTAGCCATAAAGAGATATTTTATAAGTTGACTTGATGTAATGTTTTCCCTCTGTGGTTTTCTTGAAAGATGAGAACGGTCCAGAGGAAAAGCCAAGCGTGGAAGAAATGGAAGGGCCGAGCCAAGAAGCAGGTGGGCTCAGATTTCTTTTGAAGAGTCTCCTAGGCCTCATCCACAGAGGTGAACAATGACTTTACTCAGTACTGTTTTCTGAAAATGCTTCTACTTTTTTACCAGGTTAACTTCACTTTCATTCAGGCCTCCCTCAGGAAGCCACCAACTCTATTAACTCGGAGTCACAGGGCTTCCTCTCAGAAGGGGACATTGTCATGTCTCATTCGCCGATTCCATTTTTCTTCCATGTAATTACAGCTTGCTTAGCAGAGATCGAAGAGGGATGAGCAGAGGTTGGAGTGTCAAGTCAGAGCGTGGCTGACTTAGGGCAGGTTTAAATGAGCAGATGTGATTTGGGCAGGGGAAAGAAAGAAATGAAAAATGTTTAAAGGAATTAAATGAGAGCCTTCCCCTCCACAATGAGTGGAGTGTTCTTTACTGTTTTTGCATGACATTTTGAAGAGCCACATGTCTGGTTATTTCTCTGCGTGTTGTGGGAGGTGGTGTCGCTGAGCCTGACCCCCACACACACAAAGCTGAAGTGAGATCCGAAGGCTTCTTGACATCCCCTCTATTCACCACAGAACAGATGTATCAATTGAATGTTTACAGATCTTCAACCGTAGATTACAAACTGAACATTTAAAAAATGTTCAACTGACTCCAAAGAGCTTGTTATCACCTTCAAGGTATCATCTCTTTTCTACCCATTTTGTACTCAGGCGCGCTCTCCTTTAAAAACAATAGACACAATTATGCAGCGATCAACACAACCACCCAGACTAAAATACCCTCTTCTCTTTAATTTGCAGGTCATTCTCCCAGTTTTAATAAGCCCGTGGTGCTGGGGTGGCGGGGGAGGGGGGGTACATTTTTGAAATAGTGGCTCTATCTAATGTGTGCCAGGCACGTCCTGGGCCCTCTGCTGAAATCTTGGATATAAACCAGGTGGTGGGATAAGTTTTGCAATGGAAACTTCCTACATTAACCTTGGAACTTTAGCAAGAGAACTGGAGGCTTTTATTATTGACCTGGAAGATGGAATTGAGGAAGGCCAATCAGAGAAAGCACTGAAGCAAGGCAGCAGGGACCTTGCGCAGCTGCTACGGGGTCAGTGGGCTCCCTCTGCTGAGATGCAGTGCGTGCAATGAAATGAATTCTGATACAGCAAGCTGTTGTTATTCACGCCCCCACCCAGCTCCCGACCCACACATCATTATCCTCCATGGAAGATGAGTCTTATGTGAAAAGCTGTCACCGTTTTGACTGTTTGGGCTGATAAATATTAGTCAGCTAACTGCTGACAGCTTAGGCCATCCTCTGAATGCTGAGGAGTCACAGGTTTTTTCACTCACTGCTCTGTCTCAAATTGCCTTGAAAAACATAGAATTTTCCTATTCCTGTTTACACACACATATGCACACACACACCCGCATATACGTGCACACACATTTACCTGTGTTTTATTTATTTACCATTTCCCCCTTAAGCAATTGAGAACAGGCGGTTTCTTTATTTGGGATCATCTTGCCTGTTAGCAGGCAAGTAAAATGTAATCCCTCTTCTCTACCTCTTGGATCAATAGTGTCATTACCACAATATGGGAACCTCTCAATGTGAAAAAACACTCCAAATGCACACCTGAGGGGCTCCTCTTGCTCTTCCAGATGAGCCGGCTGGCTGGCCTGGGGCCCAGTGGCAGGGGTCATCTGCAACCCTGGCCAGTGCCAACACATGTTGCTATGCCCACTCTGCTCGTTTCATAGCCTCCCAATCCAAGTGCAGAGGAACTGAAGATGTGGTTCTGGTTATTAAAGCCCTTTGACCTGCAGTTATTCTTCCAAACTAAAAACACCTGCTTTTCATTCAATATAATTTCCAACTTCAATTTTGATTATGCAATTCTGCAGGCTTCTTCCACATCAAGGAAAAAAACCCACAATCTCAAACTAGCATAACCCATCCGTTCGTACTGTTGTCATAATCAGACCAAATCAAAGTTGTGGATATTATATTCCTCAGTCATTCACAGACGCTGTCTGGACACTGGGACACAGCAGTGAACTATAAAGACACTATCCCTGAACGCTCAAAGCTGATATTCTGATGGGGAGGTCCAAAAATAATAAACAACCAGAAGGTGTAAGATAGTGGCAGATGCCTTGCAGAGAAATAAGGAAATGTAGAAGGAATACTGTGAAGGCCTGGGGAGAGAGCAGGACGGGGAAGAGGGGAATGAATGGGTGGGGAAGGGGGGCATCTGTGATACTTTCAACAGTAAGGATACATTTTAAAATTAAATTGAAAAAGTAAACCTGAGATCTAAGTGATGAGATGATGAAAGTCCTTTAAAATGGAGGGAATGGGTAATGCAAATGCCTCTAGGCCAGTTTGGGTTGGCATGTTGCTGAAAGAAGGTGGGATGGCTGGAGCACGGTGGACTGGAGGAGTGTGGTGTGAGATCTGGTAAGAGGTCATAGTTCCAGATTACTTCTGACTGTATGAGATTTGATTTTATTAGAACTACAAAGAGAAACCAGTGGGAGTTTTTAAGAAGAGGAGAGACATAAGCTATGTTTTATTTTACCTTTTATTTTTGTTCCATTTATTTTTTAAATTTATCTTTACTGTTAAAAGTATTACAGATGTCCCCCCTTTTTCCTCCCCACTGACCCACTCCACCCTGCACACCCCACAGGCCTTCACCACACTATTGTATGTGTCCATGGTTATGTATGTATGTATAGAATAAGCTTGCTTTGGCTGTGAGTTAAAATGGTCTAAAGAGCCAAAGTGAGAACAGTTAGAAGGTACCGTAGGAAAGCAATGATGGTGGTTTCTGCAACTGGAGACAAAAATGGACTGGTTTGTGTTACATTCTAGATACAAAGGTAACAGGTTATCCTGGTGGGTTGGAGGTGGGAAATGGGGGAAGAAGAAAGCCCTAGGTTTGTTGTTTTTAATATTTTTATTGATTTCAGAGAGGAAGGGAGAGGGAGAGAGAGATAGAAACATCAATGATGAAAGAAAATCATTGATCAGCTGCCTCCTGCATGCCCCACACTGGGGATCGAACCCACAACCTGGGCATGTGCCCTGACAGGGAATTGAAGTGTGGCCTCCTGCTTCATAGGTCGATGCTCAACCACTGAGCAAAGCCGGCTGGACAAGGCCTAGGTTTTTAACACTAGTTAATTATGGGATGATGGTACCACTTACCTATATAATATGTGGAGGATTGGCCATAGGGCACAGCTTTTGCTGAGAAAGTTAAATAGCTCAGTTGTAGCCATGGTAAATTTGAGAGAACTCTTAGCCCAAAGGAATGTCAAAAACCCCAGTCAGATATAGAAGTCTGGATTTCTAGGGAGAGCTCTAGGCCAGAGGTATGGTTTTGAGAGTCACTGGCATATAAATTATATTTAAAAGCATGAGACTAAATAAGATTCACTAGAAAGAACATGAGTAAAGAAATCAGTGGGCCCTGGAACACTGTTACATGTAGATATGTGGCAACAGGGGAGAAGGAGCAGCCATAAGGAGAAAGTGTTTCAGAAAGAACAGAGTAAAGGAATGCTACTGAGAAATCAAGTAAGATAAGGGGAATAGCCATTGGCTTCGGCAAAGGGAGTTCACCGCCACGCTTTGTAAGAGAATTCCTGGGCAGCATGGAAGCCAGTTGGAGTAGGTTGTGGAGAGTCTGTGCACCGAAGAAGAATATTACAGACAGCTCTTTTAAGGGAGTTTTGCCATGAAGAGAAATAAAGAAATGGGAAGATGTGACCTCAAGGTTAATCGTTTATTCTTTCTTTATTAAATAGGAAATGGTCACTTAACAAAAGAAAATGATTCATTATTTCCAATTATCCCCCTACTAAAATTTTTAATCTCTGTTCCAATAGAGACATGACCTAAAAGTAATAGTCATATACATTATGGACAAGACATATGCTAGAAAGTATGGGATTTGCCTTTAAAAGTGTGTCAATCGCCATGCATGTATAACATTTTAGTTTAAAGGCCCTGTTACTGCATGAAAATAATATGTGCTATTCCTTTTCCAGTTGTCAAGCATTAAACATTTCAAATGCTTTTGATGATGTTTCATGTCTTAAATTTACCAGTTTCATGTTAGTAAGTTAATTATCTATTACCCTGGAAGCCAAGTGTGAGTGGAATCACTGGGGTGCCCATGTACCGAGAAGACAGATAGGCTCTGAGGAGGTTAATTGCTGCTCTAAGGGGCGCAGGGACCTCCAAGTTCCTTCTCCCCGCTCTGCGCGTGGGTGATGTGAAATCTCCCAGGGGCTTGTGGTGCTTTCCTACCAGGGATCCCCTTCTCTGGGGTCTGTGCTGCCAGCCTTCAAAGTGCTCCCTGCAGGTTCACAGCCTGGCACTAGGCGCAGAGGTGCTGTGCTAAGAAAACCAAATCTGAAAAGCACACACAGGAAAGCACTTTGTGGAAACTCGCAAGAGTATCCTTTCCTCCACAATCCATTTTAAGAAAAATGTGTACCATTCCACTAGAGGTGGGGAAGAAGCAAAATGCCAAGGTACAGTAGTACCAACAAACAGCATTATTTGCCAAAAAATAGTTTGCAGTTCATTGGGCTCTGTCTTAACCTTCTGTTTCATTAATTATGAGGGAATCACAAACCACTAACCGCTTCAAAGACTGTTCAGTGTATGAGAGCATGAAACAGGTTCATATTCCTGTGGTCCAGTGCGGGTGCGGGGGGGGGGGGGAGGGGCATGCTGGCAGTGAGGCTCTGCTTGGCAGCATTAACTCTGAGCTGGTGTTTCTCTTGTCTGCTTTGTAGATGGCGTCAGTGCTGCTACTGTGCACAGCCCTGCTTCAGAAGAGGCCGTTGAAGTCTGTAAAGACGAAGGTAAGAGGCTCCTACTACATCTAAAAATCAAAATCGCTTAGGAGGCCATTTGAGTTTGCTTTATATGGAAAAATGATGCAGCAAGCAAAATCTTATCTAATTCTCTTTAAGCATCTCTATTTCAATAAATTATCTCACCCACTCTGCTTTATTCCATATCTGCCTCTTAGAATTTACATGTGCATTTACATTTGTTCCTCTGAAAAGTAGCTTTGTGAAACAAGAGAATGATTGGAGAAATTATGTTTAAAGATGTTTAAACAGAATTAGGCATTTCTGCTGTTTATGGCTACTCTTCAGGAATAAGTTAAAAGAGTGGCTTTTGGGATCCACCTACCAGAGAGCTTCATTATCCAGACATAAGAAGGAAGAAGTTTGAAAAGGATCCTTAGAAATAAATCTTTGGCAAGAGCATCATTCCTCATTCTATGGACAGTTACTATGAGGAAATGTTGCTGACCCAAGTATCTCCAAAAGAAGAAAAAGGTTGACTTTGGTTATAGGAGAAAATTTGAGGGAGAAATAGTGGAGACATTCATGCTTCTATGTCGCCAGGTCCATAATATTTTCTTTCCCTCCTGACTAAAGGTAACGTTTGCTTTTCCCCACACAAAAAGGTAACATTATTTTATTTATTTTTTGGTATCTATTTTTTAAATTCTATTTTTCAATTACAGTTTATATTCAGTATTATTTTGTGTTAGTTTCAGGTGTACAGCATAGTGGTTAGACAATCCATACTTTACAAAGTGCCCCCTTGATATTTTAAGTACCCACCTGGCACTTACGGTTATTACAATATTACTGAGTATATTCCCTAGGCTGTGTTTTATATCCCTGTGACTATTTTGTAACTACCAATTTGCAGTTCTTAATCCCTTCACCTTAAAAAGGCAGTATTATTTTATATCTGTCACCGGTAACTACTGAAAAATCCTTCTGTTGTAGTTGTACAAATGGACATCTGGTGATCTAGTTGAGACTTTTGGATAGATATGCTCAGTGCATTTCTTTAGTTTGGAGTGTTATGAAAATAAACCCATACTTGACAATTGATACTAGCATAGTTTCTAAATGCCTTGAACTGGTGTTTAGAAAATTAAAGTTGTCCTAAAAGTTTAATACCCAGCTATTTGCATCATTCATTTCATGTTGCCTGGTAAATGTGCTTTTCTAAATGAGGTTTCCTATGTACTGAGGGGGTTTGAGATGGGTGAGGGCTGCCTGCAGCTGGGAAAATAAGTTCCTCATTCCTGAAGGGGGATCTGGGTGGCCCAACACCATCCCCTACACTGTTATATCAGTGGCCCTTATCTTGTTCATTGCCTTTTTTTTTTTTTTTTTTTATCATTCAAAGGACTGTCTTTTATTGTGAGGCCTTTAAATCCCTCATATTTTAAAATTAAACTTTCTTTTTTTTATTGCTTAAAGTATTACAAAGGGTATTACATATGTGTCCTTTTTTCCCCCCGCCCTTGACAGCCCACTTTTAAAATGAATCCGTTAGCAACTCCCTTCATCTACTCAGATATGTGTTCTGACATTCCTGGTTTTATCTGATATATTTATCCCTGATCACTTAGTATATCTAAAAATACAAATAATGTCAGATAGTCACATAGGTTCCGATAAGAAACTCAAGATCATTTTAGACAGAGAAATAAACCTGACCAAGTCAGAGTGAAAAGACAGAAAGTGATGTTCCTCCTAAGTAAATAATTTTGGACATTCCAATCATGTAGCTGTGAAAGAATTTTTTTGTAAATGTCATGAAGTTGAATGGCAGAGTTTAGGAAACAAGAACCTAATTTAAGTTCGTGAAGCTGAGGTGTTTTCCTGTTGAGTTGTTTGGTTTGGAGATATCACACCTTTATAGAAACACAATGTTTGTGATGTTTCTTGATGCTTTCAGGATCCCACACCATTAATTGCTCATGCCAGGATCAATTTCTCAGAATGCTTTTAGGATTTTTTTTTTCTACATGAAATTTGTAATGGTGGCAACTCCAAAGAGTTCTGCCATATATTACAAATGCAGTTCCCTAATAATGACTAATTGTGAAGTTTTAAGGATTTTACTGAAATACATTTTTAATATTCATTAACCTCTTGATCTAGGGAAAAGTGTTTTAAAATCCCCATTAGCATGTAAACCACTACAAATAGAGCATATAGGAGATAATATTTGCCTTTTCCTTCTTGAAACAGCATGTACCACTGTTTTTGTTTTTAATTTATCTTTATTGTTGAAAGTATTACAGATGTTCCCACTTTTTTTCCTATTGACCCCCTCCACCTTGCACCCACCCTTCCCAGGCCTTCATCACACTATTGTTTATGTCCATGGGCTATGCATATATGCATGTAAATTTCCCAGTTAATCTCTCCCAACCGCGCCACCCCCGCCTTCCCTCTGAGATTCATCAGCCTACTCCATGCTTCTATGTCTCTGAATCTATTTTGTTCAACAGTTTATTTTGTTCATTAGATTCCATATGTTCATTAGATTCTCATATGAGTAAGATCATGTGATACTTATCTTTCTCTGACTGGCTTATTTTGCTTAGCATAGTACTCTCTAGGTTCCTTCATGCTGTCTCAAAGGGTAAGAGATCCTTCGTTTTTACTGCTGCCTAGTATTCCATGATGTACATGTACCACAGCTTTTTCATCCACTTGTCTATTGAAGGGCATTTGGGCTGTTTCCAGATCTTGGCTATTATAAATTGTGGTGCTTTGAACATAAGGGTGCATATATTCTTTCTGATTGGTGTGTCGAGTTTCTTAGGATATATTCCTAGAAGTGGAATCATTGGATCAAATGGCAGTTCCTTTTTTATTTTTTTTATTTTTTATTTTTTTGAGGAAAATTCATACTGTTTTCTATAGTGGCTGCACTATTCTCACCAGCAGTGTATTAGGGTTCCCTTTTCTCCACATCCTCGCCAGCATTTGTCGTTTGTTGGTTTGTTGATGATAGCCATTCTGACAGGAGTGAGGTGATACGTCATTGTTGTTTTAATTTGCATATATTTGATGATCAGTAACTTTGAGCATTTTTTCATATGTCTCTTGGCCTTCTGTACAGACATTGTACCACTGTTTTTAATTGATTATTAGTTGAAAGCTTAGGACTGCTATCTTGACTGGTAATTATGTAGCTTAGAATGAAAAAAAGAAATGAATTTGCCATTGAAATTTCCCAAGATTGAGGTCAAGTTGAAGTTAATAGGGTTGGGGATTCATTTCAAATATTCACTATTATTAGTTTCATGCAGAAGTATATCTCCTTGGTGACAATTGGGCTATTTATGAGCTCTGCAGTTATAAGATTGCTTATAAAAATGCATATTAAACTCTCCCATTTAAAAGGCAGAACATGTTTGCTGACCAAGCAGCCTGAAGGAGCCCTTGCTCTCTTGCCTTTGCTTCCAGACTCAGATCCTGACCCAGCGTCTTCTTCTTGGGTTGGGAACAAACAATCTAATGAACTGCCCTTCTCTCTCTCTCTCTCTCTCTCTCCTTTAAGACTCATCAGTCATTTCCAGCTTTTCTCATTGGTTTGTCTGGCTTTACATTTGTCATAACTTTGGACCCCACAGTATACTAGCATCTTCTGGAGTGCAAGGCTTAAAACAAGCAAATAAAACATGGGATGGCTCATGTGCCTTTGTTTGGGAGCTGAAATTTTTTAAAAAATTAAAATTGGTATGTGAAAGTTGAATAATTTTAAGAGGAAGTGTCTATCACAGTGATTTTGTTCAAATGTTCTAGACATATTTCCCATTGGGTACTTAGAATGGATGCCTATCATCCATGTGCCCCACGTAATTGCTAACAGTGCAAGCTGCTGACAGAAGGAGGTACTACTGATTGGCTTGTGTCACAATAGCTAGATTGTGAGCTACAGACTGAAGACACCTGTTTCCAATGATCATTACAGCCCTCAGATGGGCAGGAGTTGCATTGAGAGGATGAGATGTGAGGAGGAAGAATACTGATGAGTAAAGCTAATCACACAGGGCTGCCTGCCCAGGATGTGGCAGCCAGGACTTAATTGAAATGAATTCCAAGGTAAAGCTGGCTTAAGAAATTATCTATAGGTTAATAAAAATTCTAAGGTTATTTGTAAAATACTGCTTTCACTTATTTTTTGAGAGATTTCTTCCTCTACTCTTAAAAAATACTCTAATTATTGATTTAATGACTGTTTATACTTTAAATCCTAAAAATAAAAAATAAAAACACCCAGGAGTACAAATGTTAAGGCTACTTAAGTTATCAAATATAGAGGTAATCACAAAAAGGGGAGTATAAATACAGGAATAAAATTCATATTAGTAATATCAAGTACTCTGGTTGAAACTACTATATAGTTATTATTATTTGAAATATAGTCAATCTTCTTAATTCAAGGAGAACTCTTCATTCTACTTGTCTCAACTCTCATAATAATAGTTCATCCTCACTCACAGCCAAGGCCCAGGCACCTTGGGTGGGGGAGGACAGTTATTTAAACATATTTTGATTCTCCTGTCTTAGTATTTTACTACCCAATTTGAATTTGAAGCTCAACCAGACCAAATCATATGCTCATCCTATATAATAAAAGGCTAATATGCAAATAGACTGAACGGTGGAATGACCAGTCCCTGTGACACGCACTAACCACCAGGGAGTAGACACTCAAAGCAGGAGCTGCCCTCTGGTGGTCAGTGCGCTTCCACAGGGGGAGTGCCACTCAGCCAGAAGCCAGGCTCGTGGCTGGCCAGTACAGTGGTGGTGGTAGCAGCCTCTCCCACCTCCGTGGCAGCATTAAGGACCCCTTGGAGGATGTCTACCTGCTGGCTTAGGCCCGCTCCCTGAGAGGGGTCAGGTCAGGCTGAGGAGGGACCCCCTCTCCCCATGGACGAATGTCGTGCACCAGGCCTCTAGTTAATAATAAAGGCAAAATCAATTAATACTCAGGTACATGCACAGCAAGCTGGGATTCCTTAGAG